TATATATATATACGCATTTATATATATATATGTATATGCGTATATATATATATGAACAATGGAGTTTTATTTAGCCATAAAGAAGAATGAAATTATGTTCTTTGCAGGTAAATTAATAGAACTTCATGTTAAGCAAAGTAAGGTTCAAAAAGATAAAGTTTGCATATTTTCACTAATTTGTGGAAGCTAGACCTGTATATATATATATATATACCCATACACACACATATGTATAGTGAGAGAAGAGAAAAAGAGTATACTAGTGAGTCTGTCTGAGGAGACTACAGGAAGCCAGAGAGATAAAGAAAATGTCAGAGAATGAAAAACATTAAAACAGCACATCTATATATGAATATAATATAGTGCACTTACAGCAAGTTGTTGAATATTAGGGCAGCATGGTAACAGAAAATGAGTAAGCAATGGAGGAGGAATTAATTTGGTTAAAGCACGATATATATATATCATGTATATATACAGGCCTAAAGTACCAAGAAGCAACCCCCTTGGACTATCAATATACCCTTTAAAAAATGAAGAGCAGGAGGGGGAAAAAAAAAGTCTTTGCCAGGGGTGGATACCAGTGGGAGGTGGGTGGGCACAAGGAAAGGGGGAATGAGGGTGAATATGGTGAATGTATTTTGTATCGATATATGAAAATAGAAGAATAAAACCTTTGAAATTGTTCTAAGAGGAGGAAGAGGGAGAATGGTGGGCGGGGAATAAATCTAACTAAGATACATTGTAAGCACATACGTAAGTATCACAATGTATACCCCTGTACAACTATTTATATGCTAATAACATTTTTTAAATTTTGTTCAGAAAACACTTAAAAGTCAATTAGAAATAGTGTGTTAGCCCGAGTCCTACCCACAAAGCAGAGCCTGAGAAAAGGGGAAGAGAGCCCAGCATGAGGGGCCTGAGCAGTGGGGGAGGGGCCTGGGGCACCTGGGGCCCAATTTCCTAGTCCCTATGAGGCACTGCAAGAACTTTACTTCATAACTGAGCACTTGCATACAGAAGACGGGATAGTTTCTGCCCTCTCTGGTCAAGTTTCCCTCAGGAGGTCAGGTCTCACACTTCATGCTTACACCGTGCAGAGTGGGTACCCATGACCACACAATCCTGTAGCCTCAGGTAAGGCATTTAGAATAGTCCAGAAAGGAAGAGATGCTGAGCACTGATGAGGTGAGTGCTCTCCCATTACACCTGCATAAATCCCATTGCCATGGCAACGACTAGTGTGAAAAGTACACTGTGATATGCAGCAGGACACAAGACTCTGAAGATACAAATAGTTTTGAAAAATTAAATGCATCTCCTGAAAACATCAACAGAGATTTAAAAAATCACTACAGATTTGATGCAAAGGAAGATCTCCCTGAATAAATGGCATTTTATTTGAGACTCAAATGACAAGAAAGCAATCCTGAGAAGGGCTTGGAGGAGAGCTTTCCAGAGAGAATATGCAACTAATGCAAAAATCTTAAGGCACAGTGCGATCACAGTACAGAACGAGTGAAGAAGAGAGTGGCATAAGATTAATGACAGAGGAAAGGTCGAAGGAAAATATTGATTTTATTCTAAGCATGATGGGAAGCTATTTTGAGAGTTTTAAGCAGATGAGTGACATGAATTGGTTTGTGCAGGGGAAATGATGATGAGTTCCATTTCTAGAAAAGATGGTGTAAGCACAATCTACCCTTTCTCTCCTATTGACTTCAACTGAACGCTATCTGTAAATCATAGCTACAATGGATGGAGCCGAAGACGCAAAAAGTAAACCGTAGAGGGCAAGTTGGAGTAGGAGACCAGAAATCAAAGTTCTGACTTGGGAGTGAGTTCTATTTCCCTCCAATGTCCCTGACCCAAACTAAAATGCAGCCTGGAGCTGGAGCTCAGAGGTCTGCACCCGGAGTTCAGAGGTGGGCAGGAGCACAGCAGAAAGAGCCACAGAAGCATCCGTTGCTGGTTTGAGCAATGGGAAAAGTTCCATGAAGGGCTAGAGAGAGTAGGAGAATGCATGGTTTTCCATTCCCTTCTCTCACTGTCTTCCCAGCCCAGCCCCTAAGCAGCACCATGAGGCAGCTACAGTGCCATCATAGCAGTCAGGGCTGCACAGGCACACGCCACTCCAGGCCCAGGAGCCAAGGTCCCCAAGCCACAATGCCACCTCTCCATCACATTCATCATCTTCTTAGTGCCAATGGCCAATTGGTCCCACACAAGACACACAGAGGGGGAAATGAAAGCTGGCTGTGTAGCACGCACATGGAATTAAGAGATTTGGGGTAGGAGAGGGATTAACAGTGCAGTCTGAAGAAGCTATGCATGAACTACTGGACTTGCAGAGGGCACTACACAGGATCAGACTAACAAACCAGGGGCTGGCTCCCTCAGCTCTGGGGAAGCAAACCTGGGGGTCAAACAGCTGGGCTGATACACAGAGCACCACAAATGCTTTGAAACTGCATTCTGTGAAAAAAAAAAAAAAACAGAAAGAAACAAAACCCTGCAGACTACTGCTAAAACAAAAATTTAACATTCTCCCCAGGATTCAAACAAAACCCCAATGTCTCATAACATTAAATTCAATATCCAAAATACCATCGAAAACAACTCAGCACAGGAAAATATCAACTCCCAAAGGAAAAGAAAATCAACAGACAAAAGCCTCAAGATGACTTGTACAAAAAAGACTTTAAACAGAGTCCAGGAAGTGCAAGTGGACACACCTGAGACAAATGAAGAGAGAAAATCTTCAAGGAAAGAAAAAAGCATACAGAAGAATCAGAGAGCAATGCTTAAAAAGACACTGAACAGAAACATTCATGGGAGGGTGAGTCATCTGAGTAACTGAGAGGACAAGGAGCCGGAAAGGACACAATGACACATAGTACCACTGACCACCTGGGGCTGACTGGCACACACAACTCCCACCCAACATGGCCGAGCACTCACATCCCCCAAGAGGACACACACTTGCCAGCAACCACATGCTAGGCAGAAAAAAACTTCTAATAATTCTAAAAAAACCAGGAGCCATACAAAGTATATGTTGAGACTACAAAGAAACCAAACTAGTAAATTTGAATCTAGATTAACAAATCTTCCAATAGAAACAGGAGAAGGGAAAAAATTGGAAAAAATAATCTCATGCATCAAAAAACATTACTGAAAATTATGTATATCACACAAAATTCAGAAACAAAGAAGAAAAAATAGCATGCAGCTTTTGAAGAAATAATGGCTGAAAACCCTTCCCAAATTTGGCAAAAGACAAACAGATCCGGGAAGCTCAGCAAACTCAAAACAGTGCAAATAAAAGTAAATCCTTGCTTAGAAGCATCATTGTGAAGCGCAGAGAGCGACAGGAAAGAAGCAATCGGAAAGCTGTTGGGGCCAAAAACGCACTTCGTGCAACGGAAACAGTGACTTTCCAAAGGAAAGATGTCACACCATAGACCAGGAAGGAAGAAGAAGTGAAACTCTTTTAAGGTGTGGAAAGTGAAGACATGTCAACAAAGTCTACATGCAGTGGAAATGTCCTCCAGGAATGAAGAAGCATTGAAGACTTCTCAGATGAAGAAAACAAGCAAGTCACTCCCCAGCACACCCTTCAGAGAAAAGGGCAGTGATTCTGCAAGGTCCCTGGAATGTGAGGAAGACAAGAGAGCAACAAAATGGCAAGAATCCAGCTAAAGATAACTTCTTATTCAGTTACTTAAACAGTGTCTCATGATTAAAAGTATAAGCCAGAGTCCACATCAGAGCAGGAGAAACTAGCAGCAATAGACAGGGGCATTATATATTGAAGAAAGCATTAATTCACTGAGAATACACAATGATTTTTTAAAAATTTTTATTTTATTCATATGTGCATACATTGTTTCGGTCATTTCTCCCCCCTTCTCCCCGCCCTCTCCCTTACCCCCCGCCCCCACTTCCTGCCTTACCCTCCCTTACCCTTCACTACCAGGCAGAAACTATTTTGCCCTTATCTCTAATTTTGTTGAAGAGAGAGTATAAGCAATAATAGGAAGAACCAAGGGTTTTTACTAGTTGAGATAAGGATAGCTATACAGGGAGTTGACTCACATTGATTTCCTGTGCATGGGTGTTACCTTCTAGGTTAATTCTTCTTCATCTAACCTTTTCTCTAGTTCCTGGTCCCCTTCTCCTATTGGCCTCAGTCGCTTTAAAGTATCTGCTTTAGTTTCTCTGCGTTGAGGGCAACAAATGCTAGCTAGTTTTTTAGGTGTCTTACCTATCTTCACCCCTCCCTTGTGTGCTCTCGCTTTTATCATGTGCTCAAAGTCCAATCCCCTTGTTGTGTTTGCCCTTGATCTAATGTCCGCATATGAGGGAGAACATATTATTTTTGGTCTTTTGGGCCAGGCTGACCTCACTCAGAATGATGTTCTCCAACTCCATCCATTTACCAGCGAATGATAACATTTCGTTCTTCTTCATGGCTGCATAAAATTCCATTGTGTATAGATACCACATTTTCTTAATCCATTCGTCAGTGGTGGAGCATCTTGGCTGTTTCCATAACTTGGCTATTGTGAATAGTGCCGCAATAAACATGGGTGTGCAGGTGCCTCTGGAGTAACCTGTGTCACAGTCTTTTGGGTCTATCCCCAAGAGTGGTATTGCTGAATCAAGTGGTAGATCAATGTTTAGCTTTTTAAGTAGCCTCCAATTTTTTCCCAGAGTGGTTGTACTACTTTACATTCCTACCAGCAGAGAATACACAATAATTCTTAATGTGTGTGCTCTTAACTCTAGAGTTTCAAATTCATAATGGAAAACAGAGAACTCAAAAGATAAATGGACAAAGAAATAATCACGGCTGGTGACTGCAACATGCTTTTTGTAGTAATTGCTAGAACACACAGACACAAAATCAATAAGAATAAGGAGACATAACCACGTGCATCTGGTTGACATTTACTGAAATCTCCACCCAACAAATACACAGCACACATACCTACCTCTCAAGTGCACAGCAAGCCACCAGGACAGACCAGGTCCTAAGCTATAGGAAAGAAAACCTCTATCACACCTAAAAGAGTACAAGCATACAAGGATGCTCCTAGACCAAGGCACCATTAACCCGAAGTAAGGAAATAAACCAATACACTTCAAAAGAAGCCCCTGGTCAAAGAATAAATCCAAACATAGACTATAAAAACATTTGGAGTCAAAATAATACAATACAATCAATACACACTTCACAAAATGAAGGACAGGAAGGAAAAACAGGTCCTGTTCAGGGGTAGGTACCAACAGGAGGGGGAGTGTAAAAGGAGAGGACGAAGGAGAGTGGACATGACTAATGTACTTCATATTCTTGCGTGGATACAGAACAATGACACCTGCTGACACTGTTCTAAGAAGAGAGTAGAGAAAAGGATGAGGGAGAATGATGAAGGAGTGAATCAAATTAAGACACATTGCAAGCACATACGGAAATATCACAATAAAATTCCCCTCAACAACTAATGTGCTAATACAAATGTCAAAAGAAAACCTAAAGTACAAAATATCAGAAGCATTAGAATGGAACTAAAGCAGAGCTTAGAGGAAAAGGGTTAGCATTTACTATTTCAATAGAAGAGAGGGTTTCAAGGCAGTAAGACAAAGCCTCAAAGCTAGCATAGGAGGGGATAGAGAGCAGAAGTCAAAGAAAATGAAAGCAGGGGAACAGAGACCAACAAACTAAAACCCATTTTAAAAAAATCAATATAGTTGATTAAAAATTTAGCTATAAGGACAAAGGGTGTGGGAGGGAGATCACAACAATGACCAATATCATGAACAAAGGAAAGAATACCACTTTAGCTACCAAATATAGAAACATAATAAGGAAATAATACAAAGAGCTCTCATCACAAAATATGACAATTTATTACCAAAATCCATCCAAGAAAATAATAAGTAAACTGCAAAGTCTTATACTCATTAAATAAATTGAATTTTTTTATTTTTAAATCTCTGAAAAAGAAATCTCAAGGCCCAGATCATTTTCTGATGAATACTATCAAATAGTTCAAAATTAAATAATACTATGCAATTTCTTTGAGGTAGTATGATGTATTATTCAGTCATAAAGAAGAATGGAATTAATGGTGTTTGCAGTTAAGTGGATGGAACTAGAGATCATCATGTTAAGCAAAGTAAGCCAGATTCAGAAGGATAAAGGTCACATGTTCTATCTCATATGCAGAACCTAGACCTGCCTGTAGATACAGATATACAAAAACATGACTATAATCAAGACTGTCTAGGGGGATAAGGGAGAAGGGTAAAAGGGAAAGGGAATAATGGGGGTAGGGACAATGCCAAAATACATTGTGTCCATGTATGAAGGTGGCACAAGACAACTCACCAAAGCTCTTGAAAAATAAGGCGTGGAAGGATAAGGAAAAGAGAGAATAGAGGTTAGTCTGATCAATGTGTAATATAAACATGTGTGAAACACCATGGTGTAACACCTTTGCACATTTAATATACACTAATAAAAAATGCTTATAAAAAAGACACTTAAAGAGATTAAAAGGATATTTACAAATTACAGACCAGACAAAGGGTGAATTTTGAAAACAATTAAAATTGGACAAAAAGACTTTAAAAGCCTTCACTAGAAGGCTGCAAGGACAGCCAGAAAAGCATATCCAGAGATGGTCAGTATCATTCACTACAAGGGAGATGCAATTTAAACCATGATAAGATACCACCACAAACCTATTTAAATGGCTAAAATTTAAACAGAACAAAACCAGACCTTGCCCCATGCTGATAGGCAAACAGAGCAAAGAGAACACTTAAACACTGTCAGCAGGAGTGGAGAATGGCACTGCCAACAGGGAAGGGATGACAGTTTCTTATGAGGTTAAATAATTAAAAACACACTGACCAAACAATCCAGAAATCCCTCTCATACATATTTACCTTAGAGACATGAGAATTCACATTCCCAAAAAGATCACTGTGTTCACAGTCACAAGAGCAGCCAATGTCCTTCAACTGAAGAAGGGCCCGCAAACAGAGCACAATACAATGCAACGCCACTGCAGTAAAGAGGCCTGACGTTCCCAGCCACACGGACAGATGCGAAAACCACAATGTGGAGTGAAAGCATCACTGAAAAAGCAACACATGGCATGGCTGCACGCCTGCGACACTCGGCGATACTGGACTAGATAGTGGTAGCCAAGGGCCACCAGAACAGTTGCAGGGTATAAGACAAAAGGGCAAGAGGACGAAGTTCTTCAGGTCATCCTGACTGAGGCAGATATATGGCTCTACACGTATGTCAACTAGATCAATTTTACTGCATGCTAGTTTAAAAAATTAATTAATGGGGTTAAAAAACAAACACCATATGAATACAAAGGGCTACAGTGCACAAAGTTTACCCCAATGCCAGTTTGAGGGCTTAGTGGCTGTGACACTGCAAGAAAGCCATTCGGTTTCTCTGAGTCTCAGTTTCCCCAGCATCCCAACAGGGATCAGAATGCCTGTGCTACAGAATGATTAGGAGGTCCACTGGGAAAAGAAAGTGACTGTGGTTTGTGAGAGCAGAAGCCAGAGTAGAACCCCATGCAGACTGGAAGGCAGAGATTATCGTCCCCTGGCTGCCATCAACGGAGCAGCAAAACCTGCCAGCTGATTCCGCAGTACTGATGGAGGGAAAAATCAGTGCAAGAACCTCACATGCCCAGGACTGCGTTCACCTGAGAGCCATGTTTCATGACAAGAAGTGGAATGGGGCTCCTGAGCTTGGTCAGGATCTCTGAGGCCTACCTAGGCCAAAAGATTGATGTTCTGACAGTGCCAGGAGTGTGGTAAAACCAGGGAACGTGAACTGAAATAGGTGTCCTGTTTGCTCTGATTATTTTGGAGTTAAGGTCTTGCTTTTTGCCCAGGCCAGCATGGACCACAATCCTCCTGTTTACACTCCCTGTAATCACTGGGATGACAGGCGTGTGCCACAATGCCCTGCTTTTTTATGCTGAGATGCGGAACTCAAAAACTTTGCTCCAGGCTTGCCCTGAAACATGAGCCTCCTGATCTCAATGTCCCAAGTAGCTAGGATTACAGGTGTGACCACTGGTACCCAGCTTTTAAATACTGTTTTTAAATTTTCCCCTTAAGAGAAATATTTGAAAAGGCAATAATCAAAATGACTGATAATCACAATAAGTAATATTAGCAAGGATGTGCAGAAACAGAAATGTCAGAAGACTCAAACACAATCACCAGGCAATCCCTTCAATGTTTAAACACAGGCTTACCATGTGATCCAGCAATGCCTCTCCTGGGTTAACAGTAGCAACTTAAGCACACATCCATACAGACTTGTTTGTGAGTGTTCATGACAGCATTATTTATCACACCCAAAAAGTGGGATGAACAAATGTTCACAGCTAGTGAAGGGGCAAACAAAATGGGACTGTCAATGCAGTGGAATATCATCCAGCAGTTAACAGCGATGTTCTGATACCTCATTGTGGGTAAACCTTGAAAACCAAAAAGCCAGTCAAATATTATTTGATTCCATTTACATGAAACATATAGAATAAGCAAATTTATAGAGACAGAAAGAAGATTAATGGTTCCCTGGAGATGGGAAGGAGAGGGGAGGAACAGGGAACACCAGTACTGGGTAGAGGGTTTCTTTGAATGATGAAAAGATCTTAAATTAGATTGTACTGGTGGTTGAACCACTCTGTGAATATATTGAAAGAATAATTGTACAACTTATGTTGAGTAAATTATACAGTTATACAAATTATATTTCAATAAAGGTTTTTTTTGAGACAGGATCTCATTATGTATCCCAGGCTGGCCTTGAACTCACAGTCCTCCTGCCTCAGCCTCCTGAGTGCTGGGATTACAGGTGTGCCCCACCATGCCTGGTTGCAAAAAAAACCCAAACAAAACTATTTTAAAAGAAATGAACCATTTGAGATCCTGAATGCAGAGAAAGTACAAGTGCCCAGGAGGTGCTGGAGTTCAGATGCAGATGCTTAGGACTTAATCACATTACCACGGTAGCTCTCAGCCAACGAACATGCAGTCCCACAGTGGTTTTGATGGACACACTGTTGAAACTCTGCTAAGCTGCCTAATTTGTACCCACGACGGGCCACTGGTTAGAGCAAAGGGCCATGAAGAGCACACACTAATGAGAGACACAAAAAAATGGCTCTGCAATTGTGCCTCTGGCTGGCTGTCACCAGGTCTGCCAGTTGTGCTAATCTAATCACAATTCATTTGTAATGCATAAAAAACAATGTTGAAAACATGACATACAATGATGACTATATCCAATTTGGCTTTTCATTTCTGGGAATGAAACAATCCAATTCATAAGAAAATATTTGGAAATACATACTTACAAGTGACAACTTGAAATATGCTTCATGTGTCATTGTTTGGAAATTAAACTCTAAAATGATTAAACAAATAAAACAGTAGAACTTTAAAAAAGTGAAATGCAAGAATTCTGAAAAGACATTCCAAAAGAAACTGACCAATTTTGGATGCAGAATAATCTACCTGTCAACATACATTCAATCCCCAAACAAAAAGGACAGGGGCATGCTTCATCCATCTGTTTGAGTCAAACTCTCAATTGTAATACTCTGCTAGCTATAATACTTGCTAAGCAGAAAAGACTTCAATCTGTTTTTAAATTACATTAACAGCATTTTTAATGAACATTAACATATAACTTTTAATAATATATCAATTAGAAATAAAATATGGATCACTTAATAATTTAGCAATATGTACCAGTAAGAGACAGAACAGGTGCCTTCAAGATATACCTATGAGGGCTGCAGAATGACCCAGTGGTAGAGTGCCTGCCTAACAAATATGAGGCTCTGAGTTCAAACCCCAGTACCACCAAAAAAAAAAAAGAAGAAAGAAAAGATAACCTATGAGCAAAGACAGAAAAATGTGAGGCAGTGAGGCAGTTACCCTTAGGAGGATCTCATCTACTTGACACCTAGAGCCAGGA